GGAGAGATGAAAGTATTTAATAAATAAAAAAACCTGACAAAAAAATGAAAATATTTTGTCCAACAGTTTTTTTTTGTCCTCACTCTTGATCCCTTGGATTAATCGGTTCCCAGCCTCTACGACAAACCATACGACACTAAAGGACCATTTCAAAAACAGTTTGCAGTGCTGACATGGTTCTACATGTTGGGTTTTTATGACTATATGAAACCAGTTCCTCTTATTCTTTCCATACTTTTCAAGCTTTGCCATTGCCTGACTTTATTATGCAGTACCTCTGTGTTTTCTATACTGTACATACTGTATAGAAAACACAGAGCCAGTTATTTGTGGAGGCTGAACAGGCAGGGAGTTCAGGCAAGGTTCACACATACAGTTAACTTGTTCCAAATGAATATGAAGAATTCCTGCATCCTTGCACTCTTTATTAAGCAAGCGTCATCACCTTGTCAGCCCCTACATGCCTGTTCAGAGCTCCTCCCTGAGCCACACATAATGAGATGACTATCTCAGATCAGCTTTCTTTAATTTAAGATACAACACAAAGTAAGCTTTTCACCAGTGTCCTCCTAAAAGCACATTTTATATGCTCTCTCTCTCTCTATCATGATAAAATAATTCCCATAAGGTAGTGATTACATATTTGGATAACTCGGAGCAGATGTGAAAATGTCTCAGCAAGTTAACAAGACTGTGGTAGAAGTGTAGACCTTGTCGCTACTGCAGCAGCCCGCCGCAGCATCCAGTAAACAGTCTCCAGAGTGCTGAGCCTGGCAGGCGAGGTCAGCTATGAATAGATGTGTGATGGTGGTAAAAATGGTCAGTAGTTCACTATTTTTGGGGCTTCATGCACTGAGCAACTTCCTCCTTTTTTTCTTTCTTTAAGTGGCCATAGTGACCACTGTTTTGTTATATGCAGACAGATTTTGCATGCAATACTTTGAAAGGAAACAGAACTGAGGCCCGCCATCATGAGAGTGAAGCAGCATGTGATTCATATATGGTTCAACCACTCCAGTGCAGATGTAGGGTTGTTTTTTTTCCAACATCTGCCTTCTTGTCAACAAAGCTAGAACTTGCCTTGAGCATTCAGCATATGCCCACAAAATGGAAAAAAACTCTAGGAAACAATCAAATTAGATTTATGAATTTCTTTCACTTTTGCAGTTCAGGCCAGGAAGGATCAGAAAACAGCAGAGGATGAAGTATTTGTCTGAATGTTTAATGTGTTTGAGGTATGTATAGGATCCAAACTCTGCATGTTTAACTCTGGTGTTTTATCTATTTTACTGGCTTTTTCTTTTTGATTACGGTGCAAGAAAGATAACAAGCATATTCCTTTATTCTTATATGAACAGGGCAGAACAGAGGTTTTTCAGCTTTGACAGATATTTTTCAACATGGGAAACTGGCTGTTGCTACATCTGTTGTACTGCAGAAATGAAAAACTGCATAATCTAATTCACTAAAGACAAACAGTGATTTGTGATCGGATTCAACACTCCACCCTCACCTACTGAAAGATAAAACAGCTGTTCAAATTTAAACAAAAATAATGTTTACATGCGCTTAATGCCTGTACTTCTCGCCTTTGTTCAGCTCATAGAAAGATAAAGCCTAAATTGGCGATGCCGTTCATCAAAGGTGTTTTTTCTTTTGTGATCCTCTGTATGAATAGCTAAACATTGTGTATGGAGAAAATACATGTAGATAGGAGAAGGAAAAAAAGTGTTCACCTACAAGCAAAAAGGAACTTTGGTAATTGGCATAACACAAATAATGAGAGGCTATGTGGGAGAAGTGTTTGAAGAGCAAACCCTGATCAAGATAAGATTGGAGACAGTATCATGGGAGAGAGGAAGTGTTTTTCTGTCTGCTGCATCTGAAAGGAAACTTAAGAAGCAGAGTTTCTTATATGACTAGATGAGCCAGACGCAGAGCCGAGCCCTGCAGAAATAAGCAGGATAAATGCAGTTTAAGGTGTGACGAGGAAGAGTGTGACTCAGATGCCAGTTGTGGCCAGATGATGCAGACGCATAATGCATTCATACAAACGTTCGGGTCTAAAGATATTGTTGTTTGGAGCATCATAAAGCTCACAGACAGGTGCCAATGAGCCCTTTCAAACTTAAATCAACCAATGGAAAAAGTGAAGTAGTAGTCGCCCACTAGTGGACATGACACCGCCATCTCTATAACAACTTCTTACCTCTAAAAAACACTTGAAGTCAACTGTTTTTGCTACATTCACTCAGTTTTTAGTCACCAGTTTTACTTTATAAACTAGTTAATAAACTGTTTTTTAAAAACTTTAAATAAGGAGGCTGAATGCGCCTCTAATCCCTGGATTACTGTAAATTTAACCAGGCATTATGGTTTTAAATGAATCCTGTCTGGCCTCTGAAAATATCTTTAAATATGTCATTTACAGCAAGAACATTTTTATAAAAATTGTATTATCCCTGTAGAGATCTTGAAATGCCTAAAACAAACCGTAGTAGACATTTCAGGTGAAACCAGCTGTGTCTATGTTTGCAACAATATTCCAAACTGAACCAAATTAAACTTAAAGTGATGATATGTAAGTAACTATAACCTGTTTTCTTTTCGGTGTAATTTTCAGCAGCTGCATGACAAATACCAGGCTGATAATGAAGAGGACAACAGAGGCCAGACCTGGTGGTGGTGAACCAGTGATATTTGCGGGGATACGGGATTATTAGGTTGATTGTGATTTCAAAAACACATACCTAGTGTAGGATCAGAGGGAGAGAAACCGAGAAGTGTAATATTTGTAAAAGAATGTGCTTTCCATAAGAGACTTTTGCTATTGTTTGGATTTCACATGATTGATGCTTGACTTAATCCAGTGCTCTTTGCGCCTTCCCAGGAGGGTGACGCGGTCTCTTTGTGCTTCATGTCCCATGTGAAGCAAACCAAAGCGGGCGAGTGAGGGTCAGAGCTATTCGGCAGGGTACCAGATCCTTCCCACCGGCACATCTGCATGTGAAATCGCCATTTCACCCCTCCACACTCCCTAATTGTTGCTAAAATTATTTGTGAAATTGCCTTCCACCAGGAGTGTTTTCCACGGCAATTGTCACACAATTTTTTATGCACGGTGGGCCCACAGAGTTGACACATGCACCTCTTCTTTTCTGCCATATTTGCTCTTTTTATTGGACTTTAATAGTTGCGCATTATTTTTCAGCAATTACCTTTAAGCAGTTGCTTTTGTGCGTAGTTCGGGGCAAGACATCACTTGTCATCAATAACGGGTCGGTCCAAATGTTGTAATTACCACAAAAGCTATAGGAGCGATTTAGATGTTCATGCTGCGCACATTTACTTAATTGAAAGGTTAACAAGCCAAAAGCATCTTATAGTCTAACCTTCGCTATACAGAGCTGCTGTAGAGCAGCTTTGTCCATTCAGAAGCCACATCATAAATTCCTCACTCACTTATTGTGGGGCCTGATTTGTTTTATTCACCGGAGCGCTGCGTGCGCACTGGTGCGCAGGGACCAGTGACTCTGAATATGGAGGAAAACCAGATGATTTTTAGTCAATAAATCTAGATCTTTTTTTTCAAATTTTATATTTTAATCTAAAGTCAATTGTTTGCCTAATAAATTATTGCAACAATTTGCGTTTATGTTATTTAACGAAATCATTTCCGTTTTAAATTTGAGGTTTAGTTCTTGCAGTTTATAGGCTGTAACTAGGTATTAGTTTTAATTTCTTGAGTTTCTTCTGATCAGTGAAAGACGGACAGAAAGAAAGGTATTTCATCATTTTAAAAACGTTATGATTCCACAGGTTTGAACAGCTGAAAATCACTGATGCACACACGTTTTGAAAAGACGGGCTTTAGAATAACATTTAGTTCTTATAACGTGTTGAAATGGGTTTGGTGTGTGCGGTCTTATGAAGGATTCAGCAGTGAATTAAAAGTGGAATGTGTGGCTCTGATTGGTCGCTCGGCTCCTGGCTAAACCCACTCTTTTTCATCCATAAAAGAAAAGGCAGGGAGCCTATGGGAGCGCTCGACTGTCTCCTCCTACGACACGCACGAAAGTTGGCCACTTAAACTACTTCCAGCCAGCCAGCAGACATTACACTGAAACTACAGCAAGGGAAAATAACAACAGCGGTTTTTCCCCAACCCAAACACACAGCTTTAAGTGCAGCTCCTCCATTTTGCAGAGTTCCCTGTTTTAAGGGATTTTTACAAAATCGTCGTCTTTGTCTGTTTCTTTTTGTATTTTGGCACATTGCTCGCACCAGAGGAGAGCATCGTTTTTAATTTCATTCCGGTGAAAGAAAGGCTTGTCCAGTTTCTCCCTGGGACTGGGATTTGACAGCAGATTTTTGAGCATTTTCAAGACATTCCGGTTTTTGACTTGGACTTTGTGAGAGTAGCAGACTCGTGCAGAATCCGGTTTTGGCGTTTGTACGAGTAGCTGTAGGATGGCTACTTTACCAGGAACAGTGCCTCGGATGGTGCGCCCTGCGCCAGGCCAGAACTATCCTCGGACCGGCTTCCCTCTGGAAGGTGAGAAACATGACAAGATGGGTTTGATGTTTGAACTGTTGTGACAAACCTCATCAGGACTCCAGTCTGACAGCGTGTAGCTGGAGAGAGACCACAGTTTGTTACCGGCCACACGGTGGGTGGAGAAACACGACCCCCACTCGGCGACGATTCAAGTTTAGAACCGGAAACAAAACTGAGTCTGAATTTGATTCAAAAATGATAATATCCGAAAAGTCGTTCCTTGAAAATCAGTCCTCATCTCTTTAGAAATGACCTTCCTCTCGTGTGTTTGCTTTCAGTTTGAGGTTATGATATTTTCTATGAATTTGTGTTCAGTCTGAATTTATCTGGAATTAAGTTTTGCTTATTTGAAGCCGACAGATTCACTCCCAGTTATTCCTGCACAGTACCTACAGAAAATATTTGTATTAATGACTATTTTATTTCAAAATTTGTTTTGCTGATTTGACTTAAAATTACTGAGCTATGCCATTAGTAATAATACTAGCCCTAGAAATTGTTTTAAGAATATCCTTCATACTAGAATTAAGCCAATCCAGCAGCAGACTTCATAATAATTTAGATGACACAATAACAATTACTGGCCTAAATTTTAAGGAGATTTTTTTTTTTTTTTTACTGGTTCAGGTTTGATTGTCGCACAGAAATCAGTCTAATTGGTAATTTTTTCATCGATGCCCACCACACCACGCTCAAGTCTTCTGAACATATGGGCGGAAAAAAGATCACTTTGTATTTGCATGCATTTATGGAAACAGTTTTCCCCATTACACCCAGTTCGTGCTCAAGTGCTCTGGACTGAAATGTACAAAAACCACGTAGCTCGCAAGTTACTCCAGCTCCGGGATTTGTTCAAGTGTTCTGCTGCTGGAAATGGCAATAATACACACAGAAAAGAGATGGCTCAAAGGATCACATCAATATTTGTACAGCATGACTAGGAATAATCAAGGTGGGAAGTGTCGCCCTCTTTGGTGTCTCTTGAATGTGAAATTGGATTCTAAAGTGGCCTCGGATGTTTCTTGACAGCCACAGTGACGCTGGATGAATTTGGCACGACGCTTTTTTTTTTTAATGTATAATATGATAATGTGCATAAACTGCGTCTCATTAAAAGCCCGTAGCACAATAAACATGTCACACATTGCCTACAACTGTAGCTTCATCTGCCTTGATATGATCATTTTAAAGCTTTAGAAAACAGGATGCTGTGTTTTTGTTGTTTGTTTCGTTGGTTTTTTTTTTTTTTTGTTTGTTTGTTTTGAGACTTTATTGTTTGTTGTGGCGCAGTATCCACCCCTCTGGGCCAGGGTAGGGTGAACCAGCTTGGCGGTGTGTTCATCAATGGGAGGCCCCTGCCAAATCACATCCGGCACAAGATAGTGGAGATGGCTCACCACGGCATCCGACCCTGCGTAATCTCGCGACAACTGCGAGTTTCTCATGGTTGTGTCTCCAAGATCCTGTGCAGGTACCAAGAGACCGGATCGATCCGTCCGGGAGCCATAGGAGGCAGCAAGCCCAGGGTGAGTGGGGATCCGTGCACGGGCCTGTGGGTCACTGTAGCATGAGGGACAGGCGTCACGAAGTGCATGACTCTGAGGTTATCATAGCAGCCTAATGGAGTGTAAATAAATTAATTTAAAAAACAAAAGTTCGACATCCTCTGTTTGAAAGTCTTTGGATGAGTGAAATAATAATATTGATAATAACTCTAGCTGCAACATCCTGGATGATAAAAATCATGAAAAAGTTTACTTTAAAATGACGCCAGTTCATAGAATATTCGTTTTTACAGGGTGTATGGTGTTCAGCAGTGATAGATGATAACTAAAGTACTAAAATATTTACGGGCATAGGCTTATTTTGTCCTTTTTATGATGGTATATTTGTTATCCCATGTTTTCATACATGAGGCCACATTATTGCTGGTGTCAAATATTTAGTTTAAAGTGCCTCATTAATAGCTGGCCTGTTTTGGTTTCTTATATTGAGTGTTAATAGGTTTTTCCCGTGACAAATTATACACTATTTAGTTTTTTATATATTGCTTTGCAGCCTGTCATATAACAGGATAATATCCTCTCAATTAAAACTCCGTTTTCTCCTGTTTTTTCTTCACATCAACACAAATTCCAACTTAAAGCAGGTGGCAACTCCTGACGTGGAAAAGCGAATCGAGGAGTACAAGAGAGAAAACCCGGGAATGTTCAGCTGGGAGATCCGGGACAAGCTGCTGAAGGACGGGGTGTGCGACAGAAGCACAGTTCCTTCAGGTGAGGCTTCATCTGGTAAGCTGCACTTTTTTTTTCTTATTACGAGCGAACACTGCAGCATCACTTCTGAATGAGCATCACTTTGAAGCCCCAGTTACTGATAATAAAACGGTTTTGTGCCTTTTATGCGCAGTAGTGGGAAACTGTTGCTTTATAATATATAATGTAATGTTGCTCCTTTAATGTAGAATTTTATTATAACTCTTATCTCACTGCAGCTGCTTCATGTCAAACCTTTCCTGTGCTATTTGTTTTTGTGTGGTGCATGTTTCATTGGATTCTTGTGGTTCTTTTATGGGTTTTAGGGCTAATCACTCATTTACCTTTTTTGTTGCCATTAGTGAGCTCCATCAGCCGCGTGTTGAGGGCCCGATTTGGCAAAAAAGATGACGAGGATGACTGTGATAAGAAGGATGAAGATGGAGAAAAGAAAACAAAGCATAGCATCGATGGCATCCTCGGTGATAAATGTAAGTTAACAGCAAAAACTATGGCCCTTTGTACATGTCTGAAATTATTATTATTATTTAGAGTAGATTGCAGTCTTCTAAATAGGAAACAGATCTTTTTAAATACACTTCCTACTTTAAGCCCTCTTGGGAAATTGTCCCACATCTGAGCTGCAGCTGAACGTAGAGAATTTATTCCTGCTTTTACCTCCGAGTCAGCAGTTGTTCATTCACTCAATTATTTATGAGAGTCTTGGCAGAAGGTATTTAACTGCAGAAAATTAATTCGTGTAGCGAATTCCTCCTCATTCATTCACTCATTTAACGACCTCTAAACGACAGCTGACAGTTGACCCATTTCACAATCGATGTCAGTTCGCCGACATTTCACCACTTGTCAGTTAAAGTGAAAATCAATGTTCATAATGTGACTTGCTCTGTTAGCAATATGCGGCGAGGAGTGGGAGATGAAGCTCTGCAGGTCTTCACCGTCAGGGTTTATCAGTAGTGTTTACACATTTTTAATAACACTGTTGTGTGCTTTGCATATTTTATATATTTAACATCTGGAATATCAGCAGGTTCTAATAGTTACACGTGTAAGATAACGTTAAAATGCACTAAATTAGTGAGAATTTAAAAAAAAAATCCATTAGCAGGAAAAATCTTCACATTTGACAAGACACACTCGCGATTTTATTGTCATATTAGTAGTTTAATTCTTCACTGGTTTTATTTGCCATGCGGCGTGAAAGGTGCACAGTGGTGAACGGTGGCCCCTTCAGATGATCACGTCTGTGTGAATGGGGTTTAGATAAGAGTCCACAAAAACCCCATTTTCTCCTTCAGATAAAAAGACACTGCCAAAAAATTTTTCAAACTTGAAGATCTTGAACTTCACGAGCAAAACCTCCCCTTTATTGACGCTTTTCTAAAGTGAGGGGTTTGAGGTACAAAAGCAAATCCTAGAAAGCCAGGCAGCTAAAAGGAGGGTATGGGCCCGTCCATTCTCATTCAAAAATCGGGTAAAAGAGAGAGAAAACTTTGGACAAAGGGCGAGGAGAAACATAAAAGGAGATGAATTATTCAGTACGCCCCGCTGGTAGATAGTTTTGTAATTTTATATAATGGCCTGTTGGAGAAGAATCGGTTGATAGCGTGAAAACGGTCTCTTCTTCTGTCACACCACGCATTAATATTATGAAAAAATGCCACCATTTTGTTGCAAATATCTCCAGTGCCTATATATATGGTTTGTATAGGCCGCTGCATTTCTATTTTGTTTTGTTTTGTTTTGCTGTCTGGCCGTTATGCACAGCTCAGACGCGCAAAAACCGGGGCAGGTTCGCTGGATAATGTGATAATTCGATATACAAAGTGTAAACTACATTCCCACTGCGTCATTGTTCATTTTGTATTGTTGGTACAGTAGTCCTGCTTCTATTTTTACTTAGTGCTGCTTGTGCTTTAAACTGGGACTGAATTACGCTGCTGTAAAAAAGAGACGCATCCTCTGCGTAATGTCGTACAGACTACCGGCATCCGGATGGAGTTTAATAATGTTAATACTTATTAGAGTGAGCGCTGGAAACCACGGTGGCTGAATAGGTGACTGTGTTCGTGCCGGGTGTAATAGCTCGCAGGCATGGTAAGAAATGTATTTATCCCCAATCAGCCCCACACTCTCCGAGTTTGAAGCACAGCCCTTATGTGGAGAGGGATTTTAAAGCAGATTAAATAGAGCCTTTTATTTCTTTTCACTTTCATCTCAGAGCGGAGCTCACAGTGGCTCGCCCTGGGCAAAACATTCATGAGATGATTTTTTTTTTTTTCGTTTACTTATCCCGATTTTAAGACGTTATTTATTTATCAGTTTGTTTATTAGCTCTGTGTATTTGATTTGCTCATCACGGATTTATCCCTGCTCTAATCTAGCTTTATTAAACAGCTATTTAAAGTGCTAACCATAATACAATTTTGTATATTTTATTTTGCTGCATGGAGTCTGAGGGTTATTTCTCAGAAGGATGTAGTGGAAAATAAACGGACCAAATCGCAGTGTGTGCAACGAAAAGAGCTCCGTTTTTTCACCCTGCTATTAGTCTTAAAAAAAAGATAACGGTGCTGCCTGGTGGTCACCGAGCAGAGACCCTGGTCCACCCACTGTTCTCTTTGTGCTGAAGCAGGATTCCCATCATTTTCGTGTACTTCTGTTTAATTCTCTCAAATGTTTAATTACGCGCAAGAAATGGGGGAAAGGTTGCCCCACGCATGTGCAGACCTAGCCTTTTGTTTTGCGCGGCACCGGTCAGAGAGAAAAGGTGAACCAGCTGTCTGGCGTCCATCTGCCACACTGATGCATCCAACCTGACTGTCAGAGGAGGTGCAGACAGGCGATGGACACTTCAGCAAATCGCGGGATTACCTGAGGTCCTCAATTAAACAGATGCCAGGTGGGATTATTCCCGTGCATCAAGGAGGGAAAGTGACAGAGCAGCGGAGAGCTGTGGGGAAGTCAGGCGACCTAAAGATCCAGGTTAGGACTAGCGAAGATGAGGCTGCTGTTATCTTCAGTGAAATGTCATTTGGAATGCAGCGAGTAGGAGGCGGAAACTGGGACCCACCCTTTCTTTCAAACATATTTGGAGAATATAATTGTGGCGTTTCCATGTCTTTTTACGTCACAAGACAACCAATTACGCAAAACAGCCTTTTTTTAGGTTCCAGGTACAGACATGTCCCGCAGAAATAAATAAAGACAAATCGAACAGTTTCTGCTTAACGATACACTCGGCCTACGGTGATGAAAAGTGTGAAAAGCTTACCCCACACACATGCGCGCACTCACGCACGGACACACACGCTTTCTAAGTGTATGGTAATATAATGTAGCTATATTTCGGGTCTAAAGCCGTGCTGAATGAGAAGGACAGGGGAATGAAGTGAGGGACCACTTCAAACAAATCCATCTGGAACAGTGTGTGAGAGAGACTCGGTGAAAGTATGGGCAAGTTATTTAGCTATTAATAACGTTTCTTCCTCAGGCATTGAGAGTGACTTCATCTGCACTTTCTCGCAGCTATTTGGCTGGGTGGAAATTGAGGGAGACCCAAATGTTGGGCAGAGATAACATACCCATCATAGCCCAGATCCCGCGCTGTGCTTCACTGCATTAAACTCGGATTAACCTCCCCTGTCCCCGCAGCCTCCCAAGCCACATTTCACTGGAATTTACACCGGTAGGGCTACATCTCTTATAAAGAGGTTTGAAAGACAGGACGTGATTAATAATAATAATAATAATAATGCCATCGAATTAATAACGATGTTAATTAAAATACAAGCTGGCACCTGCTGAAACAAAATGTCTATTTTCACGTTGATACCTTGGACAAAGCTGCTGGCTGTAACTCCTAAACAGTACACCACTGATTTTTTTTTTAAATAAGTATTGAACAAACTGTTTTAGTTTTCAAGAGTTCATTTGACACTCCTACAATTTACAGTAAACGTTTTCTTTGTGTTTGTTGCTCAGACGTTGTTGGTTTGGCAGGTGACCGTCATGAACAGTGACATGTTTGGGGTTAATGATGATCTTATAGTCTTTAAAAATCCTATTATAATAAAAGTTCATATTAATAAGCATAAATAAGCGAAATAAAGCCATGTAGTCTTTGGTAAGGTTAATTTTGTTAAGGCTAGTAGTGAGCAGGCAAAAGAAATGTATATATATTTAAAAATGACATTTTGGAATGTAGGTGTTTCCATCAAATTATTTGGGTGATATTTTTATTCAGTATATCACCTACATGTCTTTTATTCAGATAATAATAATAATAATAATAACTGCTGTATTTCACCGGCTTCTCAGTCCATGGGATTAAAATGGTGTGACCCGTTTCAATCTTAATTTAAATAATGAGCTAAAACCTTTTGGACTGTGTTCAGTTATCGAACTGTTCTTTTCCTCCTTTCATTTATTTGTTCTGGTTGCCACAACACTAAAGTATCCCTCCAAAACTGTTCCTTCTGAGTGTAGCATTTCCAGCAGACCCTTTATAATTTAAAACCTAGTAGCCTATTGTTTTTTTAATTCACAAATAATGTCGTGATTTGCTGTTAATGACATAGGCTAATGTAATAATGATGGCAAGAGCTACTACTAGTGTAACAAATGAGCCAGTTTGGTTCCATCAGGGTTAATATGAGCAAACCGTGCAACATAATAACATGAAATCCATCAGTTTTGAGGAGGGCAGTTTAAGCTTGTAGGCCTACCAAACTGGAGAGACATTTCAGTCTAAGGAGCTTTATGTGTCCACAGCATTAGGCTAAATAAAAAAAAATGGAGTAGGTTTAAATTCATTCTGTGCTGGCATTTGACTTTGATCACATCAGAAATATTCATGGACGCACAAACACTGGCTCTGCCGCCATTATCCAGGCTGACAGCGATACCTCTCAGGGCTGTCTATTAATTAAAGTGGCGCTTACCATGTGGGACGACTCCCTATCTGGCCACAAAAAAATGGCTTTTCCAACTCTTGTGGGGCTCTTGAAAGGGGGCGATTTTTCCTCTCCAGCTTCTTGTGGGAAATTTAAAAGTGTACAGAGGAAGACATGGGGATTTCTAGCTCATTTATAAAGACGACTTTATAATCCTTTCCTGCTTAATAACCTAAAAGGATTCAATTTCTCCCCTCATTTATGGGGTTATGATCACACATTGTTGGGCACAGATAGTAGCATTGCAAGGTTAACATTTCCTGTTGGAAAAATCTCAGAATCTAAGCTGTAGGCTCAGGTGTCCTTTGTTTAGTTTGCAAAGTTCCCCACAAATGCTGATAGCCCCCTTTTTAGATGATGCTGCTATATTAACGTGGTAACAACGAAGAAGCGAGGAAGTTGATAAGATGCCACCGAGCATTTTAAAATGATATGATATTTAATTATAGCATATAATTTCACCATCGAGAATTAAATTCAGCAAGCTTAGGCAGACTGAGGATTGAATGTCTGGT